GAGTGTGGGGCTTCCCTCTTTCAAACAAGTGTTTAATGCACGTTCTAGTGATTCTAGTGTATCCCGTGATACCTCGACAGCAAGGCGAAAATCAGAAAACTGGATCGATCGGATCGAATCGAAGGCTTGGACTTGTGTGGGCCCAGAATGGGGTGACTTTAGTTTGGATATGGCCGAGGCTCCAGATGAAGGATTGTGCCCAATAAAGCGGAAGCGATTCAAGAGTATTCCAACGGTTCGATTCGTGGCACCCTCATTTCCGATTTGTTTGTCAGCTTGCCTGTTGAATCAACCTCATGCAACTAAATTCCCGCAAGTACGGTAGCCACAAAGCCGTGGTTGGGACCCGGGTGCTGGGAGGTGAAGATTTCGTTGAAATGTGGTGCTCGTCAGACGTGGGCGCACCGATGTCCCTCTCTCAGTGGACAAAAAAAGAAAACGGAGTCCATGTTGAACGCCATTCCGGATGTTGACCCAAGTTGACCCCAGATACACAAGAGCTTGGGTTTGGGGCGCCCTCGTAGCGAGAAATGCCCTCACCACTCTGGCAACAACAATCCCCCTAGGAGTTTATGAATCCGGGGTCAACAATCACTTAGTTGTTCAAAGCCGACCTTTTGACCTTTTGGTTTTCCCATTTTGGTCCATATTTAGTCATGCCCCCAAAAGGTTAACCTTTTAGTTGCAGGTCCTTTGGGCAACTGAGATCAGGCTGAAATGTGGGGTGTAGTTTTCTTGGTTGAACTGGTTCAGGCCCCCTGGGCTTTCAGCCGGGCAATCAGAACTCACGAGCGCAAAGGTTTTGCCTTTTCCGCCAGCTTCACGTAGCAAGAGGGGCAACCGCTGGCAAACCTCAGACCTGCCACTGATCACTTGAGCCACACTCAAAACCCGGGTAGATGAAGGTTAGGGGCAGTCCCAGCCATAGCTGCGGATCTCCCCCTTCTTAATTCACATGGTGGGTCAACTATTTTAATACCATTCTGGTTTTGATTGTGGCTCACTTCACCTCAAGCCCGCCATCGCCCGCCATTTTTTCGACTTTGAGACTTGACTGGGCAACCTCCAAGCCGCCCCCCGAACCCCGAACCCGTGGTCCATGCAAAGGCACAGCATGTGTTTCAACCTGGCTGGTTTCCTATGTGTCCAACCTTTGCTTTAGACGTTCCATTGCAAATTTTTTGCGGAGGCACGATGCCTGAGTGCGATGGCTTTTGAAAGGGCCGGCTCTTTACTCGGAGCCAGGAAAACTGGATTAGCCAACTTCTCAGCCCAGAAATCCAGGCGTTTGACTATGCGCAACCTACTTGACTTGGCAATCTCAGCCCCTCAATTTCTTATGGAGGTTTGTTTTCTTTCCTTTTTTCCGCTTTCGGCTTTTTGCTTCTTGGCTTTCGGCTTCTTGTTGGCTTCTGCGGCTTTTGGTGGCTTCTTGGCATTCCCAGTTCCTCTTTGGCATTCGTGGCGTCTTGGCTCTTTTGCGCGGCTTTTCGCGGGTTGATGCGGCGGCTTTGGCGTCTTTGGCATCCTCTGCTTTCCCTGCGGGGCGTTTTGGCGTTTTGGCACCCTTTCATTGGTTTTTGGGATTTGGCTTCCCGCATCATCAGCATCACCAGTTGTCTCCCTAGTTCAATCATCACTTCTTCGAACATCATAGAAAAAGCCACCCCCGCCAACGCTCCTGCTGCCTGTTAAATTCTATCGCACCCGTTCTTGAATCATTGCACCCCTACTTGAATCATCACTTCGAACATCATGGGGGGGCCTATTTGAATCATCACTTCTTCGAACATGATTTCTTATATACTGAGTTCTTCTACAGTGCTTGCGCTGTACTCCAAACTTGGGTTATTTTTTGTTGGCTCGGGGATTTCACGACAGGTTGGACTCGAAAAGCTTACGACCGATCTCTGTACGACGAATCCCGTTTTCAGCTTGGGCCGGAAAGACCATAACAACGACCGGCGCAAACAACTGGGCGCTCAATTTTTCATAATTTGCTCAGTCGCAAGGTCCGATACAGGGATCCAATTCTATCCAAGCGGCTTCAAAGCCTTTGGGTGCTTTTTTAGTGGATTTCCCGTTCAAATCGAGCGGGGGATTTGTGTTCATGCACCTGTTCAAAGCCGAAGGTTGCCTTTGGGGCATGGAAAACCGCTCATTTTGCTTGTACCCAAGGGGGGTTCGGCCAAATTGTGGGAACAACACCATGTCCACGTCTATACATTTCTATACCCAATTTAGACGATCAGGGTAGGCTCCTGATGGGTATTGTTCCAGCCCAGGAGTTAGCCCTCAAATAAAGGGGTATGGCAATTCCGTGTTTTCCCGATTTCCCGGCTGGTTTAAAGGGAATCGATCTTTACTGCAAATATGTGTATTTTACCTGTACAGAGCCACCCCCGGAGCACCAAACCAAACCAAGCGAAAACCACAAAAAAACAATATATATATATATATATAATATTATATATATATATGGTAGGAAGCTTTCATCTTCTTCAGGTTCTGTTTTTTGGGCTGAGAAGGGGCGTAGGCCCAGGTTCACACCCCAGTAAATGTGACGAAGCGGTGGCCCACTTTGGCATTTCAGAAATGTTGGTTTGGTTCACACAACCATGAAGGCAGGATTTCACCAAACGTGCTCAAATGAGGTTGGGTCAACATACTTGGTATAGCAACCATTTGAGAGTCAATTGGACATGGATTTGGGGGTGTTGCTTGGTGCGCAATGTATGGCCAAATGATTGGTACGGTCATCAGCCCCCCTACCGATGGCCTCAGGTTCCTGACTGGCATTTTATGGGGCTCAAGCTGCAAAACACAGATTGTGTTGCTCTACTACGTGTGCTCGAAACCAGTGTAAACATCAAAGTTTCCATTCAAAACCATGCTTGAAGCCGAACACAAGCCGTCTTGGACTTATTGCCTTTTTCAATCCTCTAAAGACGAAACACCTGCTACCGTAAAGAAGGTGACAAATCATCAACAACACCTTATGTTGCAGCGCTTTCAGTCATGTGGAGAAAGAGGAAGTGCAGAGTAGATATGAAGTGAGAATCGCAGGGAAACAGCTTTGTGTCCCAACAGGAATGGTTGTGCTGTCCTGCAACGCTGGTGCAAGAGTTCGGAATACGAATCGCAGCAACGCATAGGCTGGGTTGGAGAACTTGTGACTTGAGCCAAACGTGGCCACCACTTGTATATGTTACAAACATACATGTCGCTGTGGTACTATTCACAAAAACAACAGCAATGAGTTCATGAACTGTCCAATTGGTTGCTGGAAGTCACCTCTACATCTGCCCTGCAAAGCATCCATCATTTGCCCCACAAGTCAATTACAACAAAAAACCTTGGTATTGGGAGGGGGTCTTAGCATATACATGTTTTCTGCCAGAGCCCGCAGCTGTTTTTTCCATGTCTATGTTTTCCCGAGTGTCCCAAAAACTTGCTAGGGCGCTCAGGGAACCCATTGGGATGCACCTTTTGGGGATTCGGACCCAGCAGCTGTTGGGTTTTTTTCTCGCGAGCCGAGGTCCAGAACCTGTTGGCGGCGGGCGCCTGGGACAAGACCGTGTCCCTGTGGGAGGCAAATGTCGGAGGGTGGCTCCCTTTTTTCCGTGAAAGCCGACTGAAGAATGCTGGCATCTGAGTTTTTAGGGCCGGAAAGTTGGCAATCCTGGAGTTTTTGTTTTGTTTCGTGAAGCAAAGCGACTGAAGAAGGCTGGCAGCTGGTATTGGCTGGTTTTTTTTTTGGGGGGGGGGGGGGCGGAAAGGTGGCAGGGGACGATCTGTTGGTTCTCGAGTCCCTGCGGTTTTTTCTCCAAGAGAACTGTTTCCAGGTCGCGAGTGAGTACTGCGCAAGTTCCGGGGCTTGTGCAAAACTGGTTCCAAGGCAGAGGAGGATCCCGTTGTTCCGAAATGGGGGCGAGGAGGGATGAACGGCTCTGGGAGAGCGGCTCAGAGCGCGATACCTCGTTGCCCAAGGTCTTTTCACCGATGGCAACTTGATAAAAACAAAACAAGCGTTTTCGCGGGCACAAGGTTCGGGTCGGGAAAGGATCGAATGGGCACATGACCCAAAAGCAATCATTGAAATTCTGTGTTTTTTCTTGCTTTTCGGGTGTGTCTAGGGGTACCCCAAAGGAGGTTTGGGTCTCGTGGTTTCCCTTGCACGCCCTCAAGCGAGCGCAAAGAAGGTCAAGAACGGAGCTCCGACATGGCCCAGAGAGCCCGAAAAAAAAAGAAGTGTTGGCTAGGGAGGTGCTGGATGAAGGTGGGATTTTTTGGAGATCCCTTATTTGCCCAGATTTATGTGTGCAAGCCGCCCCCTTCTAGATTCTGGTATTGAGTCAACTGGGTTCCCCACAACGGCACCGTGGGTTGTCACGGAGGGCATGTGCCTTTTGCAAGCAGAAGGGTCTCAGAAAACCTGGGAATAGATTGCCGAGAAAGACAAGCACTAAAACGTCGGATGCAGCCAACCGACCGAAGCAAAACAGCATCTTTGATTCAAAGTCAAGGGACTCTCTCATCTGGTCCCAACCTGCGACTGCTTGTTGCAATGGCCCAAATCGCGTAAGTACGGTGACCTCCATTTGCTTGAGAGTAGTTGTTATTTTCCCCGGTTGGTTTTAAAGTTGGAATCTATCACTACTGGAAATCTGTTTTTTTTTCTCCAGGGGTCTTAACCCAATGGAAGGTACCCCACGAGCTGTGGCGGCTGGGACGGAAGTTTCCCCCTCCCGCCAACCGTTCAGCGCACCCTTTTTATATGGTTTGCGCGCCATGCAAGCTGGAAGGTAACCCGCCGAACAAATAAGTGTTAGGGAACCCCCCCCCCCAAAAAAAAAGGGGAAGAAAAGCATGTGTTTTTCTGAATTAGCTCCGTTTGTTTCTGCTTTTTTTTTCCTTTTCTTTTTTGGGGTTTCCTTTGTTTTCCACTGACCGGGCAACACATAGTTTTTCGCTGGGGTCCCCTTTTCCCAGCCAAGTCCTCAGGTTTTCCTTTGGAACTTCGAAAGCAAGAGGCACCTCCAAAGAAACGAACTTGCCAGGTGCTTCCGGCGGAGGCGGTCGCCAGGCGACACGGCAGTCGCCTTCTTTTTGTTGTTCGTGTTTTTTCTTTACAGAGAGCCAAAAAAACATGCCAGAGAAGGGGTCTCCGAAATGGATGGCTCGTCGTTTTTTTAGAGTTGGCACCTTATTTTTTGGTGGTGCCCGAAGGGAAACTAAAGGAAAACAACCAATTTAAGGTCTGCTGCCGTTTGGTTGGTGCACGTTTTTGTTATTGGGTTCTAAAGGGAAGCCGAGGGGACTTAAACCAGCAACCGAACATCGAGTGCTTGCTTGATCGAAACGAGCCAGCGATCGCGCGATGGGCGTGGTTTTTCACGCGCTATTTCATTTATGAAGGTCCTGTAGGAGATTCCTTTGGACCCCCCCCCCGCGCCAAATTGGTGGTGCTCCTTTAGTTTCCCTTTGAACACTACATTCGGCTCGTTGCGTTTAAGCATCATCTTCTGGTTGCCACTTTCAGGAGAAGGCTTCCTTTGACGTGACGTGGGGGATAATGCTGAGGGGGCCATTTAGTTACAAGCTGACTGATGAAAAGAAGGCAGAGCCACATGGAAAGCAGTCATGAAGTTGGGTAAGTAGGCAAACACATACAAACAGGTAGCCCCAACTACATCGTGGGACTAAAGAAAGGCAAAGCTTCAATGGAAAGCTTCAAGGTCCTGAAGGAAGGAGATTTCTTCTTGGTGAACCTTTGGCTTGTCCAAGCCTCGACCCTGAATCAGGAGTAACCATTATGCCACTTGTGCAGGGGTACGTTTGTTCCTTTCTGTCTCCCACACCGAACATGGTGAACCCCAAAAAGAGGTGGCGCTTTTGAAATCAGGGTCACTGAAGCCACCTTGCGTTGCGATTGAACGGAAATGTGTTGCGCAAGTGCAGCGGAACCGGTGATAACGTGAGCTACCCTGTGCTCGCGCTTTCTCTCGCATGAGCAGCTTGGCGCAAACGTTGTTTCGACCCAACTGGATGGGCGTGTCCTTATTGGGGAACCCCCCAAAATGGCTTTTGAAATGGAATAAAACTGGGCACCCTCAAAAACAGCCCGATTTGAACAGGACGTTCTGAACGCCGTCGGGTTTCCCTTCAAGGGTGCCATTTGGGGTTGATTGGTATGTCGACGGGTAACGGAAAGTCGAATCTGCTTTGGTGGAAACCCCAATGGTCCTCTCATGTCGTGCGGAGCTTGTGGGCGTGTCCTCAAATAGGAGACCCCCGAAGTTTTGATAGCGCCTCCTTCCATGATTCTTTCATCCCCCCCCCTTTTTTTTTTTTGGGGTGGGGGGGTATCGCCGTAGAAAGTTTTTTTTTTTGGGGGGGGGGAGGTATAACGCCGTAGAAAGTTTGGACACCAATGGGATTTTGGACGTGGCGGAGTGCTGGTTTTGATCCACTCATTCGAACCTTCGAGGCTCGAAGGAAAAAAACGGGCGGGGACTTTTGTCGGGCATAGAACAACATTCCAGGGGTTGATTCCCCATTCTTTTCAATCAGCGTTCTTTTCAAAAGCCTGTCGTTTTCCCTGGGTTTCTAGAGGCTGTTTGGAAAGAAACATCCCTGGAAAGAATGGGGAAGGTACCCCTAGAGGCCTTTTGTTTGGACGTGCCTTTCCTGGCCCCCCCCCCTCCCAAGACAAAGCTAAAGCTAATAGGGGTGTTCCTTTTGGAGGTCGTTTAAAGCCATAAGAAAAGTGTACGGGTCCCTTCAAAACCATAAACACGGGTACCAACTCAAAAAGGACACGGACCCAATTCTGGTCAATCCAACTCAGGGAGTGAACCGGCTGGTCCTCGAAAAGAAGCGACAATTGCAAAGGTTTTAGCTTTTTGGTTGGTTGAGCGGTAGTTTCCATTCAACCCACTAAAAGTTAAACCTTTAGTAGGAGATGTCAGGATAGCCCAGAATTGAAAAGAATGGACATCGAATCAGCCCCCTAGAATTGTGCACCGAGCCGTGTTTAGGTCAGTCTCTTTTTGGATGCGGGTGTGTGTTTGTTTGAGGGGTCTGCCATTTGCCGCTTTACTTGACTTGCTTTGATTCTCACATTTGTCTCGTAGACTCACGTCTGCGACCGATCGCCACGGCGCATAGGGGCGAGGGGCTGGAACGACCTTTTGTATCGTCTGAGTTGTGGTCATTGTTTGGTTGGCATCGCAGTGAACGCCGAGGACTTTCTCAGACGTTGGGTGTGCTGCATGAAGGTCTTGCTGAGGGAGTCCTGCGCTGTTTTTACTTGACCCCACTTGGGACCGGCTACAGTGTGCAAGCGTCAGGTGGGATCTTTTGGATCAGTATACAGCAGAGCAGCAGCAGCTCATTCAGCAACCTGCTCGCCATAGTGGGGTGGTTGCGTCCCAGGCAGTAGGGTTGACAGAAGCACACTCCCCTGTGAGTGGCCCGAGTTGCCAACCACGAGATTCCGACAAGGGACCCAGGGCCCCTCTGATTAAGAACTGGGCAGGGAGGGTTTCACTCAACACATCAATGCATCTCGAGTCGTGTCGAAGCTACAGATGGGAATCCACGTGCGGGTGGTGCGGTGGTGGGGGTGGGTTGGGTGGTGTGGGGGTGGGGGGGGTGGCGTTTTCTCGCAAGCACGCGTGGAGTCACAGTGCCTCAGAGCCCAAAGCTTCAAATGCTACGTGTTAGCTCTTTTCATTTACGCGTGGGATTCCCTGGCGCTGAGGCCGAAGCACTAATGCAAGGACACGCAGTTCACCCCGACAGCCAGCTGAAGCGCTTCGGGGGGGTTGCTGGCCCCCTAAGAAGGCTCGCAGTCAGATAGCTTGGAAACAGAAGATAGTACGTTAGGTATAAGTCTGTTTATCAGGTGGTTAACTTATGTATATCTCAGATAGGTTTGGTTATGGTCCGCCGAAAATATAGTAGACTTAGGAGTAGCTACTCAGGAAAGTAAAAGATAATACGTGTTTGAATCTTGCACAGATCTACTACCAAAAGATATAGAATATATTAAAAGTTAATATATGTTTTATCTTTCTTAATGTTTTAAATCTTTTTGGTATCTTTTTTCTTTTTAATCTTTCTTGTCAATTTAGCATAGGGCAGCACCTGCTTTATTTTTAGTCAAAGAACATCGCATTTGAGAATTATTCGTGCATTATTGTTTGGACGCTTTAGCCTCCCTTACTCTGATGGAAGTTTTCTTGCGCGTGGCATTATTTGACCGTGCGCGCCTGGCTAGGATTGTTATTTGCATTATCAGACTCAGCCAGAGGTACTGTTGGCTTCTGTCATTTCTTTTTGCAAAGATGGCGTATTTCTTTTTGCTTTCTTACGTGTCACCGGTGATGCGCGCTGCCTGCGTAGTCTTTGTACACTGATTGTATTCGCCATGGCCGGACTTGTCCAGCACGTTGGTTCGGCCTCGCAATACTTGGTGGAAGCTAAGAAAGTGCTGAGCCCTGCGGCGTTCCTAGAGGCGAAGCAGACACAGCTTAATTATTAAGCACATTTGTGCTGCTGCATGTGACCGCTGGGAGACCATCGCTGCGGGCAGCGGCGGATTTCCTCGGGCTCAGCGGCACCTGGGCTTACCCCTCCAAAAGAAAATCAGCGGGTGGAAAAACACCACGTTGAGCGCTAAAAGCCTTAAGAGCTATGGGAACGTTTGCGGACCACTAAGGAGCATGGACGCCGGAGGACAGGGAGCAAGTCGTTGGCCGATGTGGTGACACTTCATCTGTAGGAACTCCAGCGCAGATCCTTGGCCGCCAGTGCTTCCAGGATTACACGCACCTGCCGGCATACATCTCTGACGAGTCTGTCCCTCACGAATTTCGTGATCCGCCTTGGTTTGGTGAACCCGTCAGAACCCACCTGTCGGGTCTTTGCGGCCTTGCTGCTGCTGAGCTTCAGGAGGGATGCAACGCAGCTCACATCGGCCGAGAAGTACGAGTTCTACACGCTTCAAAAAACTCACTTGAAGAAGCACTGCCAAGCTGCGGGCTGCGTCACCATGACCTTTAAGGACACGCTCCCAAGATCCTTGCCGGTGTCTACGCAAGAGCTTGATCCTGGTTCGCTTCAAAGAGCATTGCGAGGCAGCCACTTGCGCGATGGGCGCTGGAGCTTGCCTTCCGTGATGGCATTTTGTACTGGCATTCCATGCCGCAGCCACCATGGCTGCCTCAAGAAAGGCAGCGCGATGGAGACTTTGGCGTCAGCCCTGCGTGACGCTGTAGACGGATCGCGCAAATCCAAAAAGCGCGATTGCGCCAGCATGCTTGCCCTCGCCGATGTGGCCTTCAATCTGGAGAATTCCACGGAGCCGGTCAAGTTGCCAAGGTCTGCCCCTGCGACAACTCCGCAGCCTACGCCTTCCGCATCGTCTGCCGCAGCCGGCGCAAGTCCTGTGCTGGAGGCAGCCAAGGCCTTTGCTAAGCAAAGGGGCGCCAACCTCGACTTCGAGACGGCGCCGGTGGTGGCACCCAACGATGCGACCTCCAAGGGCAATAAGGCTAAGGCCAAAGCCAAAGCAGCTCCGAAGCCTGCTCCGAAGCGAGCCCCGCAGCGAAAGGCTGCGCCGAAGCCAAAGGCTAAGGCTAATGCAAGAAAGCCCACATGGACGAGGCAGCCGCTTGCTCGCAGCGCCTTGCCCGCCTGCTTGCGCCGCGAGTTTGCCGCGGGCTGCGGCAAATGCCGGGTCGACCAGGGTGTACGAAATCTTGCTGGTCTCATAGGGGATTCAATGTGCTGTGATCCATACTGATCACAATTGGTCACATTGCGCTCGAGCAACTCTGGATTAAAAAATGCACCATCATAGTTCGACGCTTCAAGGCCGGTGTTAGCTACCATGGTCAGCAGGACGAAGCTGTTGCTAAGCTGGCCGACCACTACAAGACCGAGACCTTGGAAGGCAAAAGGGCCATTCTTCTCAAGTATGCGGAGGATCCCAAGCTGTGCTGGGCAAGCAAGCACATGGCCACAGTGACCAGCCGCGAATCTTCGGCTGTCAAGTTCACCGAGGCTGGCTCTTGGAAAACTGAGAAGCAGATCTGTAGCTTGGAGCCCCTTGACCCCAAAGATGAGGAGGACGCCAAGAAGCTGAAAGCGCTCCTCTTTTTTCTTGAAGTGCAGGGATCACCCAAACCCCGACTGGGCCGCTTTGGGCATCAAGCAGTACCGCTACTTGCAGGAGTCAGTCGACACCTGTCTGCGTTTCTGTATCTTTTACTTTGGTGTGATTCATTGTTGTGCAGTCATCGTTCTTTCGACTGCTCGCTTATTATCATCAAGAGACCACGCGCACCGTGGAAGACGCCGTGACTTTCGGTACTTCGATCGGCGGCCAGCTCGGAGGCGAAGGCAACTCCGGCGACGCGGTGATCTCATGGAGTGCCGCGGCCAAGAAAAGTCGCAGGGCCTGCGCGGAAAGGTTCCCATGGAGGAGAGGGGCACGCCGGTGGAACGCGCCAGATGTATGGAGGCGATGTGGCCAAAATGGAGAAAGTGCTTGAGGACCACCCGCTTGGTAATGAAGCTGATGAGTCCGCGCAGCCTGAGTTCACAACGGTGAATGCTTTGGTTGCCTCCATGCTGGACCTCTTGAACGAGATCACCCGTGTGGGGGGCACGTCGTGGAGGGCATCAAACCGAAGCTTCAGCAAAGGCATCCGCTAAGGCCAAGGCCGCAAAGGCTCAAGCGGTTGAATTGGCCGTGTGTGTGTGATAAGGCGATGGCAAACTATGCGGCGGGTGGCGGCGCCGACCTTTTTTCTGCTGAGGACAAGAAGAATACAAATCAGAACTCTTTTCCGTCATTTGTTTGAGTCTGTTTTTTAGCCTGCATCACTACGTGTGACAAGGCTTGCTCGTCAGAGAGAGAGTGTGCTTGAGGAGGGACAACGCGCAACTTGGGGCGGGGTGGGTGGCGGGTGAGGTAGGTCAATCTGCGTGCCAAGAAGATGAGGCTGGAGCGGAGCAGCCGTTGACGACGGGGCCACAGTCTTTGCCCGAGCTCTTGCAGTGGCTTACGCGGTATGCTCAACGGCTGCTGCGCATCCAGGTGTCTGGTTTGTCAGACGACTGACTTCCAGCGTTTTGCAAAGCTGATCCATCATCGCGACTTCGAGCTGTATGGAGCTTCTTCCGGTGCTGGCGCAGCCGGAACTGCGCTGAGGCAGGTTTCTCGAGAGAGTGGGGTTGGGGGTGTGGGGTGGGGCGGGGTGGGTGGGGGCGGGGGTGGGGGATAATTATAGGAACATACATTGAGTGAAGTAAACGAAATTTCCCAGAACCTCAAAATAAAAGCACATTTTTTTAAGATAAATAAGTACGGTTCTGAAATTATAACCTTGTTCACTTCATGAACTGTTTGAAAATATTCAACCCTTATTCATTATCTAATGTATTTTGACTTCATTGTATGTATTTATTGACTTGTTTCATTTCAGATCAGGCCTGTTTGGCAAAGCACTGCCAGCACAAGGTTTCCTTGAGTTGATCTTGAACTTTCAGGTTATGCTTGAGTGCTTCCAAGATTTCTCAGCTGTGATTCAAGTCGTGGCATCAGGTTACAGCCCAAAATTGAGGCACCTCACAAAAAACTGAGAAAATCGAGTTAGGGTCAGCATGTGAGGTGTTCGAAGATCCAAGTTGTAAGCTCCTGTACATCGCAACTGACAAGCAGCGGGCAGACGTGTTCACCAAGCCGTTGCGGGCGCGCAAGGGGGACCATGCGTTAAACCTACTCAACATGGTATCCTAAAGCTCAACTTGCTAAGTGCAATCTTGGCAACGCCCCGACACATGTTGGCCGGATAGAAAAAGTCCTTACACTGGAGTCTTCGCACTTCTCAAGCGGAGACGGGGGATGGTAGGTGGCGCACGCATGCCTTAATTAGACTTGCCGCCGGAATCCGTGTTAGCTTGTACTGTTTTTCAACCAGGTTTCCGGGTTTGATGCTGATACAATACATTCAGTTCACTCCGTGTTACTTGGAAAGGGGTAGGCAGCCCTTCGCCGTTTTCCTTTTCGTGAAACGGGTGCTTCCCTGAATCCACAAACCTGGAACCCCACATTGGACATTTTCCCTAAAGAATGACCTGGTGGGCGTTTTATGGCGTAGAATGGGCTGGGTACATTCCTTCGCGGTATCTGTCGGTCGGCGTCTTTCGGATCGATCCCGCCGCCAGGGCGCGCTACTCGCTGGAGGCGCCGGTCCTATGTTGCAGCTTCAGCGATGGGATCGGCGCCCAGACATCGGCTGCCACGGCGTTTCCGGGCGTCCAGCCAAAAAACCCATGGGGCGTGGCCGATTTTTGTTGGATCTTTTTTACCGGGTCAAAGGGTCTAGGGTCTACGCAAAGGGTTTAGGGTTTGAGGGTCCAGTTTAAAGGGAGAGTGGCAGTTTGAAACAATCACAGTGACCCCTGTTGGAGGGGTCTTATTTTTAGATGATTTGGACAACCTGGATTTCGGCTTTTCCGTCCCAAAAAAATCAGAAAGGGGGACCAACTTAAAACAGAAAAGAGCCACACCCATTCAGCGTGGCCATGTTTTTGAGTTGGTGCTCGGTGTTTTGAGGGTGTTTGGCTCCGCATTTGGAAGCCAAGTCTAACTGAGTGATGGGTCTTGGTTTTCCCTTAAACCACTCACTCCTTTTGGGGAGACCAGACAAAGGCGAACCAATCCGAAGTGGATTGGCACATCAGGTGACTGACTGCAATTGCGTTTTTCCCAATGGCAACCACTGCCTTTCAGCTGGCCAAGGGGAAGTTGAGCATGGGAAAAAACAGCTGGGGGGGTGGGGTGCTGGAAGAGGGTCCTTTTCTCCATAAGCATAGGTGTCCTTTTGGGTAGATCTGCGGCTGGTGGTTCAATCAACCTAAAAAGGACACCTATGCCCATGAGGGAATCCTCACAATAGTTCACAGTTGCCTTTTTCTCCTCCAAGGGGTTGAATATACATCCTTCAAAGCGTGCTTGTAGAGAAAAACCATCGAGGCCTTGGGTCTGTCTTCAGGTTGTGGGAAAAATGCCGACTGGTGGGGCCAGCGGGTCTCAGAGTCCCATGGCCGAGCCACTTGGGCCCTGCGAAGGTTCGTCTTACCTGAGTACCCCAAAAGGAGCGCTCGGGACTCGGGACTCGGGGCCCAGAAAAGCGATCCCCAAAACCCCCCGAACTGGCCTGACTTCGTTTGGACGTAACCAGAAATTCTATCGCAGTCGAAAAAGTTTCCACTAGAGGGTGTGTTTTGGCTGCGATGTCCAGTGCTGCTCTCGGTTTGCGATAATCGGCCAGATATATCCGTGTTTACGAGAGCGGTTCCTTACGCGGGGATTCTGGAATTGCAGGGTTTTGGACCTGCAACCTCCCTGGGTCCATAGCAACCACTGTTTTTCCCAATGCCAACATCCCCTCCGGCTTTTCCAAAAAGCAGTATTTACCCGGGTGCTGGTTGGAAGTATTGTATTTTTTTTCGATCATCCATCTGCTAGGCAGCATCTTATCAGCGGTGGCTGTGATCACAAGGCCGGAGCAGACTCGGGGCTCGGACTGGCTCGGGCTCGCGAGCCTTCCGAACATGGAACCCACCACTTGGATGGCCGACTTGGCAAAGTGGTTAGTAGCCCTAGTTGTAGCCCTTTTGCCATACGTCCCCTATAACCAGGATTGTTACTTTGCTTGGCCAAGTAGAACATCTAGGCAGGCTTAAACGGATGTTGCCACGATTTAGATGGACTTTCTGATAGAGGATTGTGAGATATATGTATGATAGATTGGTCTTATTTTGCCGGCGTCATTTTGATGGACTATGCAACGGGCGAAGAAATGTGTATTGATGTTGGTAGCAGGTGTTTGAGACTTGACATCAAGTGAAGCACTCGTTGGGAGCTTGCTGGCGGAAAACGCTACACGGGAACATGGAGCAAGGACTCGCAGAAAATGTTTATAGCAAGTGGTTGGTGGACACGTTGATCCCTCGTTATGATGTCCACCAAAGGGTTCCTGATGATGCGCACCAGGAACATGGGGACCAAAGGAAGAGGAGAGGACATGACCTTTTTCCCTGGCATTGACCACGATTTTCCGTTCTGTTCCCTGCTCAGTCTTTGTTCTCGCTCGCATCCCACGAAAAGTTCGCTCATGGCACTGCTGTGCCTTTCCTTTTCCTGGCCCCACCCCAACGCAAGCCGGACAAACCGGTTGACTTGACCAGAGGGCCCGTAGAAACGGGGGGATTCGAGGAACCCGCAACACACTTCGCGGAAGCCCCCGGAATTGGATCGAATTTTTGGAATCGAGACGACGTTTCGGTTGACCCCATAGGCCTCCTTCAACCCCAGTTGATGAATAGGTGTCCGATTCGGGGTGTGGGGATTCATCATCACTTTTGGAGGAAGACACCCCCTTATGTATAAACTGGGGTTGATTAATCTGGGTCAACATTCGGTTGGGGAGCCCCTAAAATGGTGACGGCTGGGTTTAAGGGACGAGCAAACGAGCTGGGCATCGCCATGGTTCCACTGACCAACGCGCAAACGACGTGGAGGTGTCCGAGCACCAGCCACTGAGTTTCCTTCTCTAGGTCCCCCAGTGGTGCCCTTTTACCCTTTTTTGGGGGAGGGTTCCCCTACTAAAATAGACTACAGAAAAACGGGTATTATTATGCTAACCGCTCTCCTGGAGGACCTAGTTTTGGTTGAACCCCTTTTGCGTGGGCAACGGTTGCCCATTCATACCAAGCAACATTCGGAAAACGACGGCGGTGCTCAAAACGGCGCCCCTTCGGGGAAAATGAAAAGCAAAAAACAAAACAACGAACAGAACAAAGATAGAGAACAAAACAGGGAAAATGAGGAACAAAAAGAAACCAAACAGAAAAAAACGAGGGAAGAAAAAAAGAAGCGTGATATTTGGTTCGCCCAGCCTCGAGGTCACGGTCAGAGATTTGCAAGCCCAGCGCCGGCCTCGGAGAAGTCGAGGCTTGTCGTCACGGCTGGGTGGCTCGCCTTGGGGAGTTGGTGCCACCGGTTGGAGGGTTTTAGTGGGAAACCAAAGGGAAAACCACCCAATGGCACCTCCCCCCGCAAACGAAAAGGAATTAAACAAGCAAACAAACAAACAAAAACAAGGTATTTTTTAGTGGGAAACCAAAGGGTTTTAAAATCACCCCATGGCACCTCCCCCCCAAAAAAATATATAAGGAATTAAACAAACAAACACGAGCAAAAACAAGAAGGCGGACTCATTTGCTTGAGGATGTGGTTGATGTTCCTTTGGTGTTAAAGGGGATCTATTACTACTGGACATATGTTAGATTTGTCAATGAGGTGCCTTTAGGGTTCCCTTGAAACCGAGATGAAACAGATATCCGTCAAGAAACACACCCCGTTGAGAAACAATCAACACCTGGGTACATGAAGGTTAGGGGACAGTTCCAAGCACAAAGAGGCGCAGCCGGCCTTTGAAATCTTTAGGTTGTCAGTGGACCGCTTTAGTACCAGCTTGTTGTGAACTCGGTCTTGCTTCAAGCCAAAACTTTGTAGTTGTCCAGTGGATTTCTTTGGGCCCGTCTCACCACAACGGTCCAGCCCCAAATGGCGGGTCCCCGTCGCTGGGTCTCCTGGACCCGCAAAACCGCAGCCAGACGCCAAACCTCTCCGTGGTGGGAGACATAGACGCACAAAGGCTAAGCCCTGGCCGCACTTTCTCACGGGAAGCGCTTTCCGAAAGGGGTCTGTGTAAAGAACATCATGGGAGGGTAGTGGGGAAACTTCCCCGACTGCATGTTTGGTTACCGGACTTCTGGGATTTTTGGTTGCGTGCTTGAAGAAGCAGTTGGGGCATCGCCTCAGCCAGAAGGTGATGTCACAGATGACATGTTCAGCAATGTCGTACAGATTCGGGTTTTGCAGGGACGGCAGATCGCTGGAGCGTATCATGCATGCAGATCTAATTGAATGGTGTTCTTGTATATGCTGCTACGAGGTCACAGAATAATATTTCGCTGTCGAGTTGTGAGGCGGAGTATAATGCAGCGGTGAGTGGTGGAGCAGAATTGTTATTCCTGAAGCATTTGGTGGAAGGACTGGCAAAGCAGACAGTGTGAGCTCACTGCACCTGGACAACACCGCAGGCAAAAGAGAGGACTAGTACGCACTCGGCATGTGGATTGCGTTAGGAAACAACAAGAACAAAGAGAAAGGAAATCAGTTTGGGATAAATACCGATCATTTTCGGCCAGAAAAGTCGATTTTGCAGGCCTCCTCAAAAGATCTCCATTTTGCAACCATTTGAAACATGTGGCGTTTTCAACACCAAAATAAAGTTGAACACCACCATTTACAAGTTGCAAAGTTCGATCGGTGGTTTTCATGCATCCGGATCCCTGTTGTAGAGCCCCAAATAGGCCAGGGGCACCTCCCAAGTGTGGGGACTAGTCGCCCGAGACCATGGGGCTGCATGGGGTGGCTGCTCTTAAACCAAAAGTCGGGCCAAAGAAATGTGGAGTGATTAGTGAAGGGAAACCGCCCCCAACCTAAAAACAAATTGGGGGTCAGAGTTCGAACCTACTCAAGTCGCTTAGTACTGCTTAGTACTGGTTTAGATGTTCTTTAATATTGCTTTCCGCTCGTTCAGTACTGTGTTGCCACAGACTGACAGATGCCCCCTCGAAATATATGGACTTCGGCCTCTTGGGAATATATATCATGAATTGTTCGAACCAATATTGGTTCTTGTTTCCCCTTTGGTTTTCCTCCAAAGCAAGCCCCACACACATACAGTTCATGGACAGAATTCTGCACCAGTTGATAGGTGGCGTGTCTCAATATTCATACTGTGGATGGACGCAATCCTGCACCACTTTGAAACCATGGAAACCCATTTGTCTTTGGTATTTACAGGGGAATCATCCTTCCAGGGTTTCTTAGGTGGTGCAGGTTTTTGTCCGGGTATCATAGGCTTTTATTCCCCTTTTATTCCCGCATCTCCGATTCGCAGGACTTCCACAGTAGAACCCGCTCTTTTGGGGGTCGACTCCACTCCCCATAGCCTCGAAGGAGAAAACCGGCGGGCAGCTGCCCGGAACGGATGCGTCTGGAACACCGAGCGCAATCCGGGTCTCGGAGCTTTTGGAACAGGATCCCGAAAAGTTCCAAGGGAAACCCTCCCAGGCGGTTTTTCCAAGCCCGGGCTTTGACTCAAAGCAGAATTCCTTTTTGAGCTCCTTGTACCAAAGAGGGTGCCAAAAGCAAAGCGCAAGATGGGCACTCCAACTATTTGGGGCTGGCTTCCCTTGGTTCCCTGTAGACCAAAAGAAATCACGGGGGGAAAAACAACGACAACAGCCCCCCAACATGGGCACGGGCCCAAAACCGCTCCGTCCAGTCCCGTCCCACGCGCGCGACGCGCGGATCTCTGAGGCAGAGCATGGAACTGGGCCGCCACTCTGCGCCGCTCGGAAAACGCATGAAAACTCGGGACGCCGCGTGAGGGAGAGGAGTTCTCCAAAGTTTGGGGGAGGTTTTTCCCTTTTTCCTTGGGTACTAAAGTTTGTCCATTGTTTTGAAGCTTGTCCTCATTTCTTTTGTTTGTGTGTGTGTGTTTGCTTTAGGGTGCAACAAATTTAGAACCATCTGGAGGAAATACTTGGGTAGCTGTTCTTATTTGAGCGCTAGTACCTGTTTGGGGTTGTGTTGAAGGGAAAGCAAAAGGAAACCACCCTGTTTCGAGGAACAAATTTTGACACATCCATTTGAGTCGGTAGATTGCACTTCCAAAAGATGTTTCATGTTTCATGTACCCGGGGCCATTTGGGGGGCTCTAAAAGTGCCCACAACTTTGAATCTCTCATTCAGGAGCCAAAAGGGGATGGATCATGTTTTCCAGGCTTCCCGTTTGGCATCCAGATGTTGGCTGTTTCTGAGGGGTTTCCCCCTGGTTGTAACATGGAACCCAGCAGGGCCTAATCAGCAGGGGATCCATTTCGAGGAACATGGTCCAAACCAGGGAGATGTTTGTGTGGAGGGTACTCCCTCAAAGTGTGTGGATTTGTGTCGGATATGTTTTTGGCAGCTTCGAGATCCATTCCTTGAAAGGATGCCGGAGGCATGGGCTGGCGTGAGTTGTGTTGCAAAACAGAATGCAAGACGGCCGCGACAGCGGCCCTGACAGACGATAGCAGGAGGAAAGGGAGGGAAGGTGCTGATTTGGATACGCAGGCGAACCCCGCTGCCACTGGCCCAGACTGGCGATCCAAGCGAGCTCAAAAAGACACGGAGCTAAACTCTTGAAGGCGTCACGGAACACTCGTTGCCGTTTGCCCCGGACACGCGAAAGTCGTGGAACACCCTCACACAAACCGTGGATCATCCCTTTCATTACCCTTGGTGTTTGGGCCCGCTGCTGCAACCCGCCCCCCAACCACTCCACCCCACCCCACCACACCACCAAACCCAGCCCCACCAGCCCCCAACCCAAACCGTTGGGCTTGTCGAAAACAACACCGGCATCGCCCCCTCGCCTCCCCTTCCGCTTCGCATCGAATCCGCGCGCGCGAATCCGACGAACTCCACTCGAGTCGATCGAGGCCTGTGAGATATGTCTCCAACCTGGAGGAGCATCAGCTGGTGGTGTCTGGTAGCTCCAGTCTCAGAGTTCCCAAACAACCAATGGGTATGGGTCAAAAGTAAACCACCAGGAATTGGACCGCAGGTTTTTATTCCTTGGTTCCATTTACCAGGGTTCCATTTACCAGGGGGTTACCCTATTTTTGACCCACCGCCAAATCCTGACACCCAGTACAGGCATCAGACACATTTTCAATGGTCACCTTGTGGGAGGAGGTGTTCCTTAGAAAACAGTCAACGACCACTCAAAAGGGTGCCCCCTTTTTGTTTTACACAAATCCATCACAGTCGAAACTTGCAGCTTTTGCCCATTTCAAGCATGTGTCTGGAAATTCACGGGTAACATGAGGGATTCCGCCCACAAATTCCTGAACCCCCCAGTTTGAGAGCTGACCAGTTGCAGGGACCGGCAACATGGGAACTCATCAAAAGCTCCCCACAGGGAAATGGAGATCCATCCCTTTGCGGATGGAATCGAGCGGGTCCGATCTCGAAAGGAAATCTTCTCGATTGTGAGGATTCTGGGTTCTATGCGATTGAGGGACAGGTGTTTATCCCTTTTGCTTGCCCTCCTGGCCACGAACGTGGAACCCACCAAAAGTCCTGTTTTAGCGGAACATGTTCTTCCAAAAGCACCAGCTAGGTCCTAAGGTCCCATGTAAAAGTTCATTTCGGAATTATCCGATGAGTTCACAAGTCAAAGTACGCTCCCCAAATGAAATGCTTCCCCCTAACAAGCGGACCACCCCTACCGGCAAGCCCGGCCAACGATGCCACGCGGCGAAAAATATATCGGGATCCTCTGTTTGGGTTCATTTAGGGGTGTACCCTTTTCGCTTTTCGGGGTACCCTCTTTTTGAGTTGATGTGATTAAACTTATTTTGGCTAGAGATAGCCTGTAGTATTCTGTACTTTCTATCTGCAGCCTTTGCGGGGTGCCCTCTTTGTGCTTGGGCGTTGGAACCCAGCGCCTCTGCAAACAGCAAAAAAAAGACTTGCACACAAGCAGATCACAGTAAATTGCACTGCAATCCCCTGCCCCCTTATAGCTTAGGGTTACCTCAGAGTGATCGGTTTGGAGTCGGTCTGGACTGGGTCTGCCCCCCTTTGTGGATGGCTTGCCTTCGGGTTGGCGTCATTGCACTGCAGTCCCCTGCCCCCTTCGTGGATGGTTTAAGGTTGGCTAAGGGCGGTTTCTGGTTGGCTGGCGGTTTGGACGTCTGTGGTGGGCTTCGGCTGAATCCGACGACTCGCCTGGAAACTCCGCCGAGTTGAATCGAGGCTGGGACAAGACGGTGTGCTTTTGGAGCCCCCAGCAGCCAGGAGCCCCGCCAGCTCAGCCGACCGTTGCTTAGGTGAGTCAGCTCGTTTGTTTGTTTGTTTGTTTGTTTGTTTGTTTGATTGTTTGTTTGTTTGTTTGTTTGTTTGCTGCTTGTGTATGTTGGCCGGACTTCCATTTGCAGGAAGGACTATTATGCTATTGTGTTATGTCCCTTTTCACGAAAGCTAGCTTTAGCTAGCTGAAGTTTCTCCTTGCGTAAGCAAGGTAAGGGGCTCAACTGCCGAAAGATTGATTTTTTCAATTATTTGAGCCGAAAAGATTGAAAAAAATCAATTATTTAGACCCCCCCCCCTCCCCCCCCCTCCCCCAAAAAATACCAAAACATATTTTGAAAGAAGTAAAATAATTTTCATAACAACTTACCAAAATATAAAATATAGGTTTATAATTCAAATATTAAATAAGGTTAATACATTATTCATATTCATTAACCTTATCTAATTACTTGAAAATAATTTTACTTCATTGAAATATTATATAAGGTTAAGAAGTTATTCTACATATTAACCTTATACAATTTTATGTAAAATATTTATTAATAAAAATAATGTTAATTTTCTTCTGCCTGTTTCATTTCTAAATTTCTTTTATGCTTATTTGTTTTATTTTGTTGTATTTCTTTATACTAGTAAAACTTCCTTGAAAATATAATCAATATTCCTGGAAACTAAATCTATAAATCCAAATCATAAATCTTACAATAAAATTAAATTGTAAGGTTTATGGTGTAATTTATAATTTAAGTTCAGGATAATAATTTAATTGACAAATCTCACTTATTTCATACATCATTTTAAAAATAATATTAATATCTCTCACTGTATTTTTAACATTAAACTTTTTACTTTCAATAAATAATTTGATATTTTCTTTAACATCCTCTCCTTTCTCTCTTGACTACAACACAACATCCATAATATATCATAAATCATTTCATATTTGTTCTTACTGGTTTTAAGAAACTGTTTAACATAATCGTAAGGTGGTAATTTATTTACAGTTAAAAATATCAAAATGTCATCTTCTACATTTCTATTATGTCTTCCTTTTTTTCTCAACACACAATTGATTATAGCTTGGTTATCTCTCCAGGTTTTACAATTTTCACATACATCTTCTTCATCCATTGAATAATCAATAATTTTATTTATTATTCCATTAGGTAAATTTAATTTATACAATTCCATATTTTCTTTTTTAAAGTAGCAACAGTCATAACATTTCTTATTAATATACTTATTGATTTCAATACCGTTCATTTTCTCACTAATATATTAAGTCACTATTTCCTTAAGTCATTTTCGAAGAATGAATATAAACTTAAATTATTAACAAAATATTACAAATCATAAATATTACATGTTTTTTATTGTAAGGTTTATGGATTAAAATAATGGTCAGGCAATATGTCTTCAAATATGTAATCTACATATTTATCTACATCACCAATGTCTATATATTTGATATTTTCTTTTCCTATTATTGAATAAATATATTCCCAAAAGAATAAATACAACAATAGACATACTTTATATTTAGTGTTGTAGTAATACCATATACTATATTCAGTTACTCTAAGTTCGTTCAAGACTTCATTTATTTTATCTTTGTCTAATAAATGCCAGTCAATCCATTCAAACAAATAACGGTATTTTTTGACAAATGCTTTATATGGTTTAATTGCGTTTATTCCTCCAAACCTCCTAATTAAATCTATATTATTAAAGAATTCATCAATTTCATTTTCAAATGACTTTATGGAAATCTTCTGGTAAAAGTGTATAGGAAATCTTGCTTGGTGTCGCATAAATAATTTTAATTGTAATTGAAACTTTGTATATCCCTTATCCTTATGTTCTTCAAGAAAAAACGTTTCAAGGTCTCTTGTTATACAGCATTGATTGCAATATACATTATATTCACTTATTTTATTACATAGATTGGCGGGTAATAACTTACACAATGTTATATTAACATCATTCTTTGTATTTTTTACAGAATTCGCACTTGTTATAGTTAAACAACATTTCACTATATTATATTGAGTCATTATTTCCTTAAGTCATTTTTAACGAAGTACATGAGATATTTTTTGTTTTTGTATTTCTATAAGTCTTTCATATCCTCTGACCACTCCGTCAAAACTAAACACATAATTTACGGAACTTTCACATGCTAATTCACAAGTTTTTATTAATTCATTAAAATCTTTTTTCAACTGCGTCTCATCATGCTCTAATTCAAGGCATGATTTAAACCCTTCATAAAAGTCTTTCTTGTTAGTTTTAAAGTATTTAACATCTAGCAAAGCATATTTATCTCTTTCATCTTCATAGTGTTCTTTTACCTTTCTCATTTCTTTTATTAATTCTATTCGTTCTTTTATTTCTGCGTGTATCTTCATTACTACATTAAGTCATCATCTCTTTAATTCTCCAGTGATGATGACTATGTCATCATATTATTCTATTTTCAATAGAATAATGACCATATGCTAAACTATCACCTGTATTAGTCCAGTATCTTTTATTTTCATAACTATTCAAACTAATCTTTGTTGTTCTAATACTATAAATTTTATGGTTTTTACTTCTAATACTATTGAATGATTTATGTATATCTTCATTAGTTTGTAAAACCTTATCATATTCTTTATATGTCAGTTGCCTCCTCACTACGTGCTTTGCTGTGCCCTTGCATTTCTTATGTTCTTTTTCTTCTCCATAGATTTGAAAAGCGTAACACTTAGGACGAAGTCCAATAAACCCTGTAATAATTTTGCTACTGCATTCATCCTTAAATTTACCCAACGTCTTTTTTATTAGTAGTATCATAGCATTTATGATAAATAGGATAATCTGAAAAATCCATTTCATCTTTAATATCATGAAGATCTTTATAGATGTCATCAGTCTTAGTATGAAATACAAAACTATCAGTGTCAGTATAAACCATTCTAATATTATCTCCGTATTTAGGTTTCATAACATCATAATAAAACTTATACATATGTTGCTTACTCAAATCTAAAATACTCATTCCAATGAATATAGGTTTATCTAATTTCAATTGTGCTTTTTGCTTCTCAACTCCTACTAAATTATCGCTGATAATATGACTATGTTTAAATGATGGATTATTAACACATTTCATAAATCTTGTTTCATCACTCACTATTTCAAAATCTAAGTGTTTCCTTTTGTCTTCCATCGTTTTTCCGAACACGGCATTATTCATTAATTTGTAAACATATTTCTCAAAATCATTGTTGGCATTCTTTCTTTTCTCAGTGTTAAATTCAGTGTAAGGTTTTAATGTCTCTTTCTGACTGAATTTTATTGCTCTGTGTATTTTCTTTAGTTTCAATCCGTGTTTTAAATAAAACTATAAAGTTCTAATATGGACTACATACTTTTCTTTGTCTTTTAAATTCAATATTAATTTATTTGTTTTTTCATCTTTAGGTTTTTTCTTATTCAGTATTTCATAAATTTCAACTTGTTTATCTGATAACATATCTGCTTTTACATTCATAATTTCAGGTGCCATTGGATAGTCATTGTGTAAATCGTGTAGTTCTTTAGGGTATTCTAAATCAACTTCTAAGATGTATCCAGTATTACCATTAGCATAGTTTAAAATATCATCTTCTGTTATTTTAGTATCCCACTTTAAATTTTTGTATGGCAGTTTTTGTATCATTGCTAATCCATATAAGTTATTAGCATCAAAATAGTTAATATAACTACTTTCTTTGCTTTCATCAAAATCATCGCCCATATAAATATTATTTGCCTCTACTTTCTTACAGGCAGTCTGTGTCATCCCACCACGAAGTCCGGTCTCTATCATTTCATACATATCTTGGTCATAAACTAAATCTATTTCAACACCAGTTAATTTTAACATAGCATCAAAAGCAAAATTAGGCAGTGTGTAATAATATACTGGATCTGAACCGTAATCTTGAATACACACATCTCTAAAATTTTCAAAAATATCAGTTAATAATAAAACATCTGTTTTCAAATACAAATCGTGATATTCACCCATGTTTTTAATCTTAAGGTGTTTCCATATTACTTGTGCTTTTTCATAGTCTTCATCCGTTATATTATCCTCACTTAATCTACTGTAAAACATATCTTTAGTTGGTAGACTTTCATCTTCAAACTTTTCTATTGAATTCATATAGTCATACGGATAAACTCCCTTCTCTGTTAATAAGTCCAAACATTTTTCACTTTTAATAATATCATTATTTTTACTAAATCTAAAATTGTTCTGCCAGTTGTCTTTTATTATCCATTTTCTTTTATCTTTATCATCTGTGTTATCATATTTTGTCAATGATACTAATTTATCTAAAGAAGCAGTTATAAAACTAAAACTGTCCTTAACACTTAAACAATCAAAACCGATATTAATAAACTGTTCACTGTTCTGTGCTATTAATCTATTTTCTTCTGATTACTTAACTTATCAGCATTTTGAATATTTAAATGTCCATCATAATTTTTCATATTATGAAAAAAACACTGGTATTTTAAAATATTTATGACAAAAGTTTAAATTACAAATGCTATGAGCACAACTCCGATATTTACCTGTGAAATGGCAATGGTCACGAACCTTCTTATATGTCTCTGCTTCCTTTTCATTCTTATAATCATATCTAAACGCGTCACCACAAATAAAACAATGAGTTGCATTTTTAAAGTCTTTCTTATTTTCATCACTCATATCAATTTCTTGATTTTCTTTCATTTTGTCTTTAATGTCTTCTCTTATCTCATTAATTTTACTACAAAAAACATTAACGGCATCACTTCCTCGATATAAATATTCATAATTAGAACCATCAACTGAATTAACCATATTCAACATAAAACCACAGGGTTTATGTTCTTGATAATTGTAAGTTTTAATACTTTCATCTGTTGGTTTATCAACTTCCTCAGTTAAACATTCAAAGT